AAAAACTACCATTTCCTTCCCAATACACGAATTCAGACTGGTCTGTATCAGGAAATGAGAACAGAACAGCACTGCTGAAATTGATTACGTTACATCTGAACAAGACAAAGACTGCTGTGGAACAGATACAGGTTTCTCACTCCCCAAAGGTGACAAGGCAAACATCCACACTCAGCAACGCTCTGTGACAGACCAGCAACTGTTTCACAGCCAGAGCATGTGGCCAGGCAGACACCCACCTGCTTCAGACTGGCGATGTAGCGAGTGATGTACTCCACGGTGACCGGGTCCTCCACAGTGAGCCGGTGGCTCTGGCACTCCACCCGGGCCCTGTTGATGACTATCCTTGCATCAGCAGTGAGGCCTGCAACACAAGCACAGAGGTTCTGCTGTGTCCACACCTCACAGGCCCCACCAGGACAGCATCAATTTTGGGCAGATTCCAAAATGAGTCCTTTGAAACCTGGCACTGAGGTTACTCTGAGTGACCAATAGGGGAGCCAGTCAGCCTCCAGAATTTCTGAAGAAATTAGGAACAGATGCTCCTTGACTTAACAAGGGGCTTATTGGGACGTAACCTATTAAGTTCAAAATACCATCAGCTGAAAATGCATTTAATCCTCCTGATAAATCCATATTTATGACTGCATAAAGTAAAAAAAACTAGAGGTCAAACAATCCTCAGGTAACACCTGTATGTGAAAAATTGTGTGCACTGAACCACATTTAAACACAGGAGCTGAGTCTTCTTAGGAAGCTTGTAAGTCAAGCCAATCCCTATTTTTACTTATATGAATTGAGATCTTCCGAGGTTGGATTTGCTGAGGGAAGAGATTGGGTGAGACCACACAGTGCTGAGCACACGTTTCGGCCTGGCCTCTGTTCTGTGCATGCTGCCCTGGCACAGGCACTGAGCTGGCTCTAGAAAGCCCACCTTTCTCTAGATCTTAACTGACCAACACAAGAAAATATCGGGAAGAGAAACAAGTGGCTAGGGAGTGTTTCGTTCATTTAGCTAGTTGTGTTTCAAGGAAACTGTGGCCAGCCCTACTCTAAAAGTCCAAATCCTTCTAAGTGATTTTGTTTGTCCAGTTTCCATGACTCGCAACAGCCCCTCCTTCAGGGTGATCTCCAAAGCTCTGTGTTGGCTGAGACTAGAGAACAGGTGCTGTCCTGACACATACCTGCAAAGGCCATGCAGACATTGTCATCCAGGGCACAGATCTTGCGCACTGTTCTTTCATCCTGCAGTTTGGCCACTGACTTCTTTTCCACACCAAGAACAACAATGTCTCTTCCTCGAACACCAACCTTCAACAAAGATCCATAAACCACTTGAGAAAGTGACATGAAGCTCTGTGCCAGTCACACAGCACTGGAAGCAGATGTGTACCTGTGTCCTGGGCATTTACTGGGCAGAGCCCTGAGGGCAGGTGTGGTGTGTTCTCCCAGGCCCCTTCCTCCTCTTCCACGGGCAACCACTCCTGGTAGAGCCAGCATAGGTCCCAGATGTCCATCCCATCCCATGCCTTTAAAAGGCTGGTATGGACCAGGCACAGTGCCTCATGCCTATAATCCTAGCACTCCGGGAGACTGGGGCAGGTAGACTGCTGAGCTCACTAGCCTGAGCAAACAAGAGTGAGACTCTACTAAAAATACAGAAACTAGCCGGGCATGGTGGCAGGCATCTGCAGTACTAAGACTCAGGAGGATGAGGCAAGAGGATTGCTTTAGCCCAAGAGTTTGAGGTTGCTTGAGCTATGATGTCCACTGCACTCTACCCAGAGAGACAAAGTGAGATTGTGTCCAAATAAAGAAATGGCTGGTTACATACAAAAGTACTTATCTTAGTTACAACATAGCTAGTAAGTAACCACCAGCATAATCACATGCAAAGACTTGAAGCCTGAGATTTCAGCAGTCAAGTGCAGTACCCCAAGGCCAGTGTTTCTGGAGTCCAGAAGTTACAGAAAAGCCCATTCGCTCTTTCCAGCTCTGTGACACACCCAAGTGCATAGCTGTAGGGAAGGGCCTGACATGCTATCAGTGGACAACTATATCTATTGTTATGGGAAGGTCAACAGCTCCATTTATGGCTGACCCTGTAGGGAGGGATATAGCCATTAAATACATGGATAGTCACTAGCAGTTAACTTTCTCCAGCCAGAAGGAGAAACAAGAGGAACAATCATACAGACAGCAGCCACTCTGGCTTTAGAGCAGTGCTTGCCACCCCCAGCAAGACAGCAGCTGGGCCAGTTGGTTGTTTTTTTTTTTTTGAGACAGAGCCTCAAGCTATCCCCCTGGGTAGAGTGCTATGGCCTCACAGCTCACAGCAACCTCCAACTCCTGGGCTCAAGCGAGTCTCCTGCCTCAGCCTCCCAAGTAGCTGGGACCACAGGCGCCCGCCACAACGCCTGACCATTTTTTGGTTGCATCCATCATTGTTGTTTGGTGGGCCCGCGCTGGGGATTCGAACCTGCCACCTTGGGTGTATGTGGCTGGCACCTTAGCCGATTGAGCCACAGGCGCCGAGCCCAGCTGGTTGTTTGATGTGGCTGCTGTCCTTAGCACTGTGGGATGCTGGGTAGCACCCCACCTCTACACCCTAGATGCCTCTACACAGTTTTGGACAATCACATCGCCAGTGCCCCTGGGGACACACAAGCACGCCTAGCTGGGAAGCATAGGGTGCAGCACACTTCCATTCTCATCAGCTTTCTCCTCTGACTCAGGTGACCTTCAAACTGACCCAGAGGGCCCAAAAAAGCTGGATGGGTTCAGGATAGACAGCTATAGCTGGCTAGCCTGGGGGTGGCATTGAGGGGCGGGAGCGTTCAGCTAGGTAAACACGTAGATTCTGGGCCTTAATTTCAAGGCACAGATTCAGGAGATAAAAACACTTCAAAATTTACAGAATTGTGTGTGCTGCTTTCTCTCTGCCCACCCCAACCTCTCAAGTACGAGGTGATAAAACTATTAAACAGCTTTTCCAATAGAGTAGTAGACAGAGCTCTTGATTCTAAATTTCAAATGGCATTGCTAAGATCACTGAGTGAGGAGCCCCAGTTAAAACCACAAGTACAAGCTTGGAAGAGGACCGACAGGAGTAGTCCATGCTCATCTTACCAGGGCAGAGCGCTCCTGCCAGCTGAGCAGTCAGACCCGGAAGCGGCCTGTCATCAGCTCAAGGCCAACCTGGACCTAGGGAACAACTGCTTTCCCTAGGATGGAGAGAAGTCTCCCCAGCTGGGAGCGTCCGGGTATTCCCCCGGAGTTGCCTGCTTGCTTAAAGAACATTCAAGCCAGTGTAGGCTGACTCTCCCCTGGCTTCTGCCTAGGCACACCCCCGCAGTCAGGTTCTGACTCAGGGCTGCCCATAGGTGACCTGCCAAGATGGCCGTCACCACAGCCACCTGCTCACACGCCCACACGCAGGGAAGCCCCTCCCCACTCCCCCGAGATGCTAAGGAAGAATAGAAAACAGGCACTTTGGAGTTGACGGTTCAAATGCCAAAATGTTTTTAAAACACCTGTCAAAAATCACTAGTAAGTATCCACCCAGATTACTACCGGGGTAGACCCCAATGTCTGAGAGCAAGTTCATCCTCCGGTGCGTGGCCCGGCCTGCTCCTGCACCCGAGCGGCCACCCGGCCACTGGCTCACGTTTATGACTTGAGCTCCCTTTCCTATATCACTAGCAACACTGACGTCGTTACTTCTGTGTCGCACTAACGCCATCGTGTTGGTTTCGAAAGGCTAATCTGCCAAAAAGCATTCCTACGACAAAGCGACGCAGTCAGCACAGCGACCTACGCGCAGCTCCTCTGCAAACGCAGCCAGGGCGCCCCGGCCGGGTCTTCTACCCCCACTCCCCGGGGGGGGGGGTCCTCTCTGGCCCTGAGAGCCCTCTCGGGCCCTCCAGCTTCCTCGGTGTCCCAGCGCCCTCTTCGGGGGCCCCGCCGGCCCTTTCCGGACCCCCACCCGGCACTCTCCCCAGCGGCGTCCCCAGGCCCCCTAGCGTCTTCACCAACTTCCCCCGTGGCCTCCCCTGGCTCCCCAGCGCTCTGCTCAGCTTCCTCCAGCGTCTCCGGTGCCCCCAGCCCCACTTCCGCCCGCACCCCTGGCCACGCGCAGGCCCCAGCCCGGCCCGGGCGCCTCACCGCGGTCGAGCCCTTCTTGACGGCCTCCTGCGCGTACTCCACTTGGAAGAGGTGGCCGTCGGGCGAGAAGACGGTGATGGCGCGGTCGTAGCTCATGCCGGCGGGGGCGGCGCAGCCAGACCACGGGAGCCCTCGCTGCCGCCGCGCCTCAAAAGCGCACACTCACGGCCG